CTAAGGGCCCTCTTGTGAGCTCAGTTGCTTGCCATGCTGCATGACAGCTGGTACCTCAGTCCAGAATTACACTGATGTGGTACTGCCTCACTGAGGTTTGCCAAGAGGGCAGCCACCCAAAAAGGCACCACGCAGACCTGTTTGATTAACCCCGATGTTCAGATAGCAGACTGGTGATTTCCCAGCTATCAACTGCAGCACAGCCAGGATTTTCCTGCAAGAGAAGACCTGATTATTAATGAAAAAAGTCTATGGGATGACACAGAAAGGAAAAAAAAAAATCTACCTCTGTTACATCTCATGACTCGTTTGTTCTTCTCTGGTTGAAGTTAGCTGTATACAGTGCAGCGGGTTGGAGACCTTCAGCTGCCTTAGCTTCTGGGCAAGGTTGAGTTACTAAGTAATCGCAATACACCCAGAGCCTGGGCAAGGCTCACTCAGAGCTCCTCTTGATTTTGGTGTGACAGCTTGGTCTCTGGTGAGCCATCCAGCCCTGGGCAATGCAGGACTCTTCCCTGGGTGGGCTTACCCAGGGAGGTACATTAGCTCACACAGAGTTTGAAACAGGCAAGTTGTTTCTGGGGCGCCTGGTAGCTCCCTGGTGTCCCTGCAGGGCACAGCAGCGTAAATGGTGCTTCAGGAGTTGATCAGCCCTTTGGGAAAGGAATCAACTGAGTCAGGCCAATGCATGACCACGCTGCCAGAGTCAGAAAACATCCCCATAAAGAAAACCCTGACAGTGAGCTCCAATAATTTATACCTCTGCAGACCAGCTCCTCCTGCTCACGTACCAGATTTAACAAACCATTAATTGCTGCCTGATTTCTAATTACTCTTGTTTACAAGAGCAATGAAACAAATCAGTTCTACAAACACAGCTTTGATACCAAAAAAAAACCCGTACCAGAAAGTTGAGAAACTCGGCATTATTTTATATGTTGGTACCGAGTACCCTACTAAAGTATATCGGTGTGACCTAAATATTTATACCACAGGTAGCAGTACTTGAGGTGGAGGGATTGAAAGCAAGAGAGATTTTCTGGTGCATTTTTATACCCATAAATGTTGAGCCAACATCTAACAAGGCAAAAATCTGTTTCTCCGAGATCTAAGCACAGCACAAAAAGCTGAGCTCAGATATCTTTCCTCCTCCTCTGCCTGACAGTGTCCTGCCAAACTGAAACCTCTCATTCAAGAAATTGTTTTGCTGTCTGTCTTTGGAGGTTTTCGCAGCAGTCCCAGGCCACGCTGCGAGCTGTGGATTGGGAGCAGAGATGCACAGTACGACGTCTGCAGCCCTGGCAGCAAAGCCAGCTCGCTTTAGCCGGGAGTGTGCAGGAGGGGGAGTGTTTGAGACATAGCTGCTCTGTCCCAGTTCTCACCAGGGCCTGCTTCCCTGTCTCCTTCCAGGCACTGCTCAAGCTCTTCAGCCCCTGGGACGCTCCTGCAGTGTCTAACTGCACCGTGTTTTTTCTGGGCTTAGAGGAGGGCTTACCGAGTCTGAAACTATCCATCTCCACCAAGCTTGCTGAAAACCTCCCCAAAGCAACAAGCTCCCTCGAGCAGATGGGGAGTTACCAGCGATGTGGGACTCCACAACATTACCCCTTACCATTGCTACGTAGTGCTTAGCCACCAATTCGTTTTTTCTACTGCAGTTTGGACAAAACATTTTTTGGTTATGTTATTACAGGGGGCTTGAAAGAGGTTTCCCATGGATGAGGATTTTTGGGAACATGTCTACAACATGAACTCCTATTCCTGTTTTAAAAGATATACTGAACATCAGCCAAGCCCCCATAGATAGCTATACACACATCTTTTTATCTGTTGGAGTGTGTGACAACAGAATTTTCTAGAGGTGCTCCAGTAGTAAGTGGGGAAAGGATGCCTGGTCTAAGCATTTTCCCTTGTAAAAATGCCTGCTTGGTTCACTTACGTTTAGCCACCTCAAAGTTCCCAGTTCCTGGGAAAAGTCCAGCTCAGACCTCTGCTGAAGTCACTGTGGTTATGACTCACAGGCTAAACAGAAGTGCCAGGAAATCATGTGTATCCAGCAAAATGGCTCTCTGCATCTGGCCTACTGATTGCTAGGCAGGATTTTTTTGTGTTTAAGTAACAGCAATTTCTGAATGGGAACTTCTGGAAACGGCTTCTTTCTGATCTGCCTCAGAAGAAATCTGGGGGCATTAATTTGATGGCCCAAATGGAAAGAGAGCATTGGCTGGGTCACATCCTGCACCTCTGCAGGTGTGTGGGATTCCCTCCACTCAGCCTTCATGCAGACATCAGCCCCAGGTAAAATCCTTGCTATCAAAGGGGGCCTCCACTGTCTTCAGAGGAGATAAGGACAGGCTGAGGACATTCCTCCGTGTCCAGCATAGAGCCACAGAAAAGTTTGGGTTGGAAGGGACCTTTAAAGGCCATCTAGACCAGCCCCCCTGCAATGAGCAGGGACATCTTCAACTAGACCAAGTTGCTCAGAGCCCCATCCAAGCTGAATTTGAATATTTCCAGGCAGGGTAACTGCTGCACAGGAGCAAATCCTCCATCATGGAACAGATGTGTGTTTTGCCAATTATTAGGCCTAACATAAAGGACACAGGCAGCATAAAGATGAACCAATAACCAAATTGTATTTGATACAAAAGGGTCAGTACATGGGTGAGCACTGGGGGTACAAACAAGTCAATCAGATTATACATAATTGACATCAATCCCATTGACTCCAACAACAACACCCCACAACCAACAATGGGTGGAATAAACAGTGACATGCAGTTTCCCATAGAAAGGACGGGAGACAACCGAGTCAACAAACCCAAAAGACCAAGGAAGCCACATACCGAATCTCTACACAGCCCATGTTTACAAAAGCCAGACCTGACTGGAGCCCAGTCCCAGGGAGGCGGGAGGTCCTTCCCCAACAGGGAACTCTGCAAAATGCATCCACCTCACAGACAGACACTGCCCCTCCTGCAAGGGGTCCCAGCTTTTATCCCTCAGTGGGACACCTGACCTTGGGTTACTTAATGTGGGACACCTGGGGCTCCTTTACCCAATGGCTCTGTCTGCCAGGCTGGCACCACCCTGGAGGGAAGCCTAAAGGTAAACTCACCCCCCCTTTGGGAAGGGCTGTGGGAATCACCCACATGTCAACCTTAATTTGGGGCTTGGGGTTGAAACCCCAGCATTTCAACGTGCCACTTGCCTGGCCTTTTGACACAGCATGCCTGACAATACATGTCTGATGATACCTGCCTGGCAACTGCGCTTCCACAACGCACTGAATTCTCATACTTACAACTGGTCTGTAGAAATAGCATCTGAGGTGGGAAAGTGGTTTGGTTTTGACCCACGACTTCTACAGCAGATAAAACTCAACATGACAATTGCATTACTTGCCCTTAGGAGTCAGAGCAAAGCACACCTGCAGCACATACATACTTATGTTTGGAGTTTTTAATTAATTTGATGTCCTCAAGAGACCTCAGAACGCTGACAAGATGGATTCATGAGAAGGATTGTCTTCTATCTTTGGTTGAGTCTTATTCGTCTTTAGAACTGATCTGCAGAATGAAACATATATTCAAAAATTAAAAATAGCACTCGGGTTGGTATTTAGGAGGGCGGACGCTTTGTGGTCCTAGGCTCCTTTGTACAGCTGGAAAGGAAATGTGGGCTCCACAGGGAGGACAGTATCCTCTAGCAGCGTTAAAAAACAGCACAAACCAGAAACAACTGTTTGTGAGAGCCAAGGATGCAACATCGTGAGGAAGGAGCAGACACTGCAATGAGAGGGATGCTTTGCTCTGGAGTGGATGTTGCGACCCAGCCCAGCTGCCCTCTGCTCCTGCCCTGTGCTTAATTTGGCTGTCACCTCATGGCAACTAAAACTGACTAAAGGCATTTCAAAACTAAATTACAGAAGCTCTCCATGGTCTCACTTCTTCTCTGTAAGTCTCCAAAATACCATTTAGATAAAAATAGAGGGAGAGCAATTTCAAGTTCAAGAAACAGAAAATCTGTTTTTTCTGAAAGATGCATTTAAAGTTCCCTGTGCACACCACACAAAGTCAGAAAGCCTATCTAGTAAAATAGCTCCCTGCACCATCACCGCGAAAAAGTAAATATTTACAGCCAGCCAAGGTGGTATGCAGTTAGGGACAGTAGAAATCACTCTTTTGTACTACTCTGTGCAGTTCTGCTTTTAGTATAACTAATACCCTGCTGAAGACTGGTATAGGTCCCCAAAGGAATTCCTCATTCCAGAAAGCAGACATTTAAACTCTCATCATCCACAGGGCCCTATTTTGAAAATTCAAATGAAGAGGTAGAAAAGGTAAAAACTCTAAAATATCCCCCTGTGGGAGGTCTCTCCTGGTGTGTGCATGGGGGAGAGCAAAGGTCAACAGCTTCCACATACAATATAATAAAGCTTTCAAATCCTGGAGCAAAACACCAACTTAAATTAAGTCTACCTGGAGTGCTGTGTCCAGCTCTGGGGCACCCAGCACAAGAAGGACATGGACCCGATCGAGCATGTCCAGAGGAGGCCATGAAGATGCTCAGGGGCTGGAGCACCTCCCCTGTGAGGACAGGCAGAGTGTTGGGGTGTTCAGCCTGGAGAAGAGAAGACTCCGGGGAGACCTTACAGCGGCCTTCCAGTGCTGAAAGGGGCTACAGGAAAGCTGGGGGGGGACTTCTGTGTCAGGGAGGGTAGGGATAGGATGAGGGGTAATGGTTTTAAACTGACAGGAGGTAGATTTAGATTAGATGTAAGGAAGAAATTCTTCCCTGTGAGGGTGGTGAGGCCCTGGCACAGGTTGCCCAGAGCAGCTGTGGCTGCCCCCTCCCTGGCAGTGTTCCAGGCCAGGTTGGACGGGGCTGTGAGCAACCTGGGATAGTGGAAGGTGTCCCTGCCCGTGGCAGGGGGTGGAACTGGATGATTTTTAAGGTCCCTTCCAACCCAAACCATCCTGTGATTCTATGATCACACATCAAAATCTGATGCAGGAGAGAAGCTACTTTGTGAGCTGGGCTACAGGCTGGATTAGGGGAGGGCAGCTTCTCCAAGGTGAAAGCAGCCACCTGCAACAAATACAAAGGCCCCTTAGTCATCAAGGTGGTGGACTGACAAGAAGCACCCCCAGCCTTCACATACAAGTTTCTGCCCCGGGACTTCTCCATCATGCACAATATCTGGCACCCCAACATCATGCGCATCTTCGAGCCCATCAGAGTCTGCAGTGGGAAGCTCTGCATCATGATGGAGGCAGCAGCTACTGTCCTGCTGCAGCTGGTGCAGCAGCTGGGGAAGCTGCCCTGGGTCCCCAAGGTCTGGGACATCTTTGTATAGGTCATGGGGCCCATATTCCACCTGCACAACTACAACTTGGTACACCAGAATCTCAAGTGTGAGAACATGCTGCTCACCGCTGATGGCCACCAGACCAAGCTTAGTGACTTTAGTTTTAGTAAGGAGGCCAACAGCTACCTGGACTTGAACACCACATTCTGCAGATCAGCAGCCTATGCTTCCCCGAAGGTCCTGATGGGCATCCCCTACAACGCCAAGAAGTGTGACATGTGGTGCTCTATGTGATAGTGGCCGGCTATACACCCTTTGATGCTGCCAACATCCGCAGCATACCCCAGCATCAGAAGAAAGAGGGGCTGTGCCTGGAGGGGCTGCCCCCACTGCTGGTGCCCTACCAAGCCCTCACTGCCCAACTGCTCCGGTTCAGCCCGGCCTCCCATCCTGGCATCGGGCAAGTGGCCAAGATCAGCTGGATGAAGAGGGACATCTTAATGAGGAAGCCCTCCTCCCCAGAGAACTCAGGAGAGCAGAAATGGGTTTGTACAATCAGTGCTGCAGTGGAAAAGCGTTTCTGTGGTTTATTGATCGCTCTGAGCCCTGGGGTGCCTGTATGTGGAACTGACTGAACTTCAAGCACCAGCAAGACCATGTTCTCTCAGAAGATGGTCAAATCCCTCCGTGAAGGAGACGTGTGAGCCTGCTGTGGACTGGGTTTCAAGACCCAGTGGCCATGATGAGTTAGCAGCAGGAGCAAAGAGTGGGCTGCTTACACCAACAGTGGCTGCCTGACCTCAGGGGGGGCCTGCACCCTGTCAGGCAGGTTGGGGCTCTCCCACAGAGTCTGCGTGGCCCGGGCAGGGTGGCGAGGTTCAACGTGCAGCCGCACAGTGCTTTATGTTGCCTACTCCCTAGCACATGTAACGAACACTGAAACTCCCGTGCAACTACCCCTCGCTGCTGCTCCCCCACCCTCTGCCATCGCATGCACAGGGCACTGCCCGGGACGGCAGGAGGAAAGCTGCTCTCACGTGGGTCTTGTCCTCAGCCTTGTTCACCGTCAAACTGTATTTGAGCTGGTGGGAGGGGAGAAGCAAATTGCTACTGGAGAGAAAATGTCACACTTTTTGCATCCCACCATTTAGATCTTACATTGATACTCACAGCAGGATCTTTGCAGACATTACCAAGACAAAAGTCTTGGTGTGGGTTTGAGATCCACACCTTACATTCAATTACATCTTTCAGATATTGATTCTTAACAACATCTGAAATCTCTGCCAAAAGATATTTGATGTGAAAGAAATGCCACTGGCCATAGAGAACCTGAAATGGGAAAGAGATGAAGATATAAATAACTGCTTTGCTGACACCTGCTCTTCAGTGTCAATGTAGAAAGTTACCAATTACTCAGAACGCAGGCCCCAAAATCTACTACAGATCCCTACTGGCAAGTCCCATTTTCAAAGGGTTAATTAAAGGTAGGAGCTGGCATCTGAAATGTGCTTTCATGAGACATCTCAAATCCCCTTTAAACAATCTCCAATCTAGCTTCTACCAAAACTGAAGTCAAACAGAAGAATTCCCGTTGGGTGGTCTGCCAGTCTTCATGTTGCTGGTGCCACATGAGCTAACACAACACAGCCCTGGCAGCAGCTCCCGCAGCCAGGCTACGTCTTACATGAACAAACCAGTGCATACAGCTCTGCTGGAAGAGAAGGAAACATCTTTGGCAAAGCAAACACTCTGGGTCTATTAAAAGCAGCATTTTAAGTAGAACAAGATGTGGCAGCAGAGCCAAGCCCAAGGCTTTTCAGCACATGGGCTAAAGTGAATTTTGCCACCCCCAAAATGAAGATTTATTTTGTTCTCCTCCTTGCAGCTGCAAAATAAAACTTCATAGCAGCAGCAAAGGCCAAAGTAGACGGAATAAGGGATAGGAAGGGTGTCTTGGGGCCATCCATGGCTGGGGAAACAGGCTTGGGAAGGATCAGGAGGGTGCTGGGAATGGAAAAGAAGGATTGAGGTCGTAAGGATGCAGGAAGCGAGGAGGCGGATTTCAGGGTAATGAGATTTTCAGCAAGGCTCAACTCTCTTTTCCCTACTTGCCTTCCAACCACCCCGTCAGCCTCATTCCTCTCCAAAGCTACCACCTTTCTTTGGGAGAGTTTCCCAATCCATACCCCAGGATACCCAGGTACCTACCTTCTGCCTCACTCCTTGTTTACGTCCAAGTACCACTCCACAACCTGGAAAGTGGAAACCTGGTGCCAGGCCTAGTGCTACTGTATTGCCTCTCCTTTTGCTTTCTTTTAATTTTCTTTCATTAAAGACAAGGCTAATATGAGTCATCCCAAAATCCAGACCCTATTAATCTCCCCTCAGCACCACATTCTCCTAAACAATTGCATCTGTTGAGGACATGAGTTGGGACAGATGACTAATGTTTTGCAAGGCTACACAGCCTTGAGTGACTTGGGAAAGCAGCTGAGGTTCAAGTGGCAAGTGATTTGAATGAGCCACAGGAGGCTCATAATGCTGCCCTGCAGCCCTCGCCTCTCCACGCAGAGTGTACTCCCTGCACTAACAATCTCAGAGCAGCCCGAGACTGTGAAAATAGTCCATTACAAGTCTAATTATGCAGATTAAAAATAAAAATCACAATTAAAGACTCCAAACCAGTTCTTATCTAATTTGCTCCAATGGGAAATCGGTTTTGAAGTAGAGCAGAACCAGAGGTGTTGAGCAGGCTGAGGAGAAGGGTCCTTGGCCGTACCCTAGCATGAGGGCCAGGGTACTGTTCTGCGAGCATCCCTCTTCTCCTCACTCCTGAAATCTCTGTGTGTGCTAAGCCTGCCTCTTCTCTGTGTTTATTTCCTCCTCAGGAGGGTAGAAATGCTTTTTAACCTTCCTGGAAGGTGCACAGTCAATAGAAGTGCCCCTTCCCTGGCTTCTGGCAGATGAGCCTTTCTACCCCAGCTGTGACTCACAGTGCCCTGCATTTATGGGCGATCCCCTGAACTTTGAACGAGTGCCCATGGGAGGCATAAACAGCTGCACTGGGTTATCAATATCCCGATCAGTCCCTCTGGTGCCATTCTACAGCGTGACTCTGTCCTCCTCGGGCTGTTTGTAACGTACTGGTGAGGTACCCGCACCGAATAAATAACTTTCAATGAAGGAGCTGATCACCAGGCAAGATACACAATAAATATGCTTTATTTAATCCTCCTTCAAGGACGAAAAGGGAAATATTCAGAGACTATATAAGGCAGCTCTGTGCTATGCCACCATCTAGCTCCTGTTGGCTTACTACATGGTCTGAGCATTACCCTGTCCAATGGCCCCGTCACTGGCTGTTGTCATACCCTCTGTCACCCGACAGGCTCACTGGCAAGTTTTCCCGATTTTTAGACCCATGTCTTGAAACCAGTCAGAGGGACTCTTGAGAGGATACTCAGCAGAATAGAATGCTTAGTATTTTCTCAAGGTATTTTCTAAGCATCTTGAAGCAATTTTATGCTATTTAATCTGAGAAAAGCGTTAATAATTTCAAAGACATCTTCCAGACTCTTAGTATAGCTTTCCTCCCACTGCTCTTTTGTCCAAATTCAGCATCACCTTGCCTAAAATACAGTCTTTATTTCAGGCAAATGAAAGGAAGAGAGATAATTTGCTGCATGTTGACATTAAAGCTCCCTTTTCAGCTAAGCAAAATTTACTTTCAAGATTTTAGGTCATAAGCTGATGTGTCTGATAAGCTTTAGGACTCAACTATTTAGAAGTCTACATGTTACAAAACTCTGGAGATAAGTATATTCATGAATTGTGGGAAAACACTGCGGGGTAATCAAACACCCCATGTATTCCTGCTTTAACTCTCAAGCTGATGCTCCCAGGGCTGTACGTTTCTGCCTGCAGCAAAGCCGGGTTGCCCAGCCTGCAGCTAATGACCCGCTACAATTACCCTTGGCTGAGCCAGCGCGGGCAGGCTGGGTGAGAGACATACCTGAGTGACCCTGCCTCACTGGGAAGGCAGAGCTTTCAACAGGCAATTTAGCAAATGAATATACCTCACTCTGCTTGAATACATTAACCTTTCCATAATTGCAGTCTTTAATGCTAGAAGCCTTTTATCCAGCTACCCAGCATCCTCCTCTCTCTTTTCAGACTCCACGCTGTACAAAGTTATAGGTCTCCATGCTTTTGTGTGCGTCTTAACCCTTCTTCAGTTTAAGATCTCCTCCTCTTCTCTTTTCATAATCCATCGCTCTGCAGGACTCTACGTTTACTTGTCTGTTGGAATAGATAGAGAGGGAGAGAGGGGGAAAACATTTTCCTGTCTTGAGACATTTGATTACACTGAGCATAATTAAAAAAAAAAAAAAAAAGGCAAACAAGAAGATCTCGCCAAAGGACAGGATCCAGAGGCTCTTTGTGCACATAATTTTCCTTGCAGACAAGGAGCTTTCTGTGAATAATATTTTCATTTTCACAGCACCTATAAAACATTAATCCTCACACTAGCACAAAGTGGTAAATATTCTTCCTTTGTTACAGCGAGCAGACTAAGTGGTTTACCTCAAGCCAAGAAGATTTCATTTTATATTACAGTTCAAAAACTTCCCTGGCCTCCAGTCTTCTGGTCAGATCATGACTCTGTCTTGAAGTGATAATAAATTCAACAATATATGATGACCTGGCAAGACATGTGAATTCCCTCTCCCAAAACTGCTTCCAAATCAATCTCATTTTATCTCATAAATGAATGAAAGGAAATATACTACAAAAGCAGATGGCTAGAGCTGCTGGAGCTTCTTTTCCATGCTCTGAATAAGGGATCCAAATTTCTTAACTTCATGTAACACACCTTTTTGACAGTCAAGGAGGTACCCACACCACAGGACGTAACGTGAGCCCGGGTTGCCCAGAGAGGTTTTGCGATCTCCATCCTTGGGGGGTTTCAAGGACCAACCAGACAAAGTCCCAGGCAGCCTGGTCTGACCTCAGAGCTGACCCTGCCTCGAGCAGGACGTTGCACTATAGACGTCCAAGGTCCCCTCCTGACAGAGTTGCCCTGTGACCCCATAAACCCAGAATTCTGCTATGAGGCAACAACTATTCTTTCTCTCACAGATACACAGAATTCTCAATGATTTTGACTACAAGGTTGATAAATAACTGTATTTTCTAGACCCACGAAAATGTGGGACAACAAGCAATGCCTGCATCTGCCAATTACGTTTAAGTTATTATTGACTTCTCTTATAGGTGGCAACACAACATAAGCACCTAAAAAGACAGCACACAAGGGTGAGCATGGTTATTAGGTGTTTCTCTTTGAAGTTAGAACGGCGCAAGAGCGGGTGGTGTGTCTGTTCTCCTTCCTTCTCACATTATTATCAGCCACAGCAGCAACCAACAGATTCCTTGAAAGACAAACACGGTGTAATTTCTTTTTCTCAGCTGACAGATGTTCATTGTATTCAGGTAGCACCTAAATGTCACAGGAATCCTATTGGGAGACATCCTGTGTACAGATGTTATTGATCATCCCTGCCTCAAAAGATCTCACCTCTTAAATGAGAGGCATTTGGCCACGGGAGAGGACCTTCCCTTGGACCATGCA